TGTGTGTGTGTGTGTGTGTGGTTCTGTGTGTGATGCTCTGTCTCTGTGTTCTTCAGTGGAGAAACTCAGCTGTCGGTTCTTTCGACTGAACAAACATGTGACTGTGATGAAGATCTTCATCCTCATCATCACATCACTGCAGGTTTGATTCATTTTCTAAAAGTTTGTCTGAAGAAGATTCTAAATGTTTGTCAGGTCTGAAGCATATGAACAGAAATGAATAGATTAAAAATCATTAATATTTATTTTACGTTTATTTTAAAAAGAAACAAATGTGAAGCTGAAATATCTCAGACTGAAACGACAGAAACCTCTTTACACATTTATTTAACGTCTACTTTGATTATTTAAGTTTGGTCCATGTCCCATCTGCTAACATGGAGGAGGGGGGGATATGATCTATACTGCAGCCAGACACCAGGGGGCGATACAGATGATTTAGCTTCAGTTTTGAGAGCCGTCATGTCGTCCATCTTTGTTTACAGCACTAAGACAAACGTTCTCTCACAGTTGATCTCGTCTTCGTCTTCAGCTCCGTCTATTCAGATCTTCAGTTTCTCGCTGTCTCAGGATCCAGGACGTCACCTGCTGATCTGTCTTGTCTCTGGACTGACATCACCTTCGCAGGACATCCTGTGGTGGGTGGACGACACCGTGGTGACATCAGCTGACACGTCTCTGTCAGAGGAGGAGGGCGGAGCCTACCGTGCCACCTCAGTGTGGGAGGTGCTGGCGGCCGACCAGAGGAGTGGGTCTACGTTCCGTTGTGGGACGGTCCAGGAGGGACGGGTTTATAGACGGAGACTGTGTCCACATGACCGACATGGATCAGACAGTCTGGTATAATTTAAATATTAAGTTTCATGATGGCGCCCCCTACTGCATCATTACTGAGCCCAGTGGCTGAACTTGTGATGTTTTTAATAAACAATGATCAGAACAATGTGGTCTGAGGGCTGGGTTCCTATTGGTCGAATGAGGTCACCTGTTCAGTGAGAATGAAAGTAAAGAGGATTATAAAATATATCGTGTTATTTATTATATTTATCGAATCAGCTGTGGAGAGTACACTGTAAAAAGTTTATACCTACATTAGTGTTTTTTCTCCAGTTGTTTCAATTCATTTAAAGTGAATCATTTAAATGTTTTGACTGAACAAAAGTTCAAATGAGCGAAGTCAACTTTAGTGGTTGGATGTTTGGTTGTGGCTGCATCTGATCAGTTGGATGTGTTTGCTGGATGTTGGATGTGTTTGCTGGATGTTGGATGTGTTTGCTGGATGTTGGATGTGTTTGCTGGATGTTGGATGTGTTTGCTGGATGTTTGGCTGAATGAATGAAACCGGTCCTGGATGGGCCGTCACACCGAGCCCGGTTCTGCCGGAGCTTCCTTCCACCTGTTGCTTCTGCCTGCTCGGTGTGGAACACGTTGGATTTTGTCTTTTTAAAGATCTTGGACTTTTGTGCAGCACCCTGAGACAAGTGTCTGTTGTGATACCATGCTACATAAAGACATTTGATTTGATTTGATCTTGATGCTGAATGTTTGGTTTGATGTTTGGCTGGATGAGATGTTGGACGTGGTTGGATGTCAGCTAACCCTGGTGGAGGAGATGAAGTGAAACTGAACTCAGATCAGTTCAACTTGCTTTAATCTGATTGGATCAACAGAATTAAATTATACATGCAACACCAGTTTATAGGTCATCCTTCAAAAAAATAGCTACAGGTTTCCTCCTTCAAAATAAAAGAGCTACAGGTTTACTCATTAAACACGAGACTATACGTTTACAGGCTAGACCCCCCCAACCCTGCCCCCACAGGCAGATTAACAGAAGTCAAATATTCATGTTTGTACAGAAGAGTAAAGATTCGTCAGAGTTTCTCACCTGTGGAACACACACACCTGGCAGAGCTCCTCGACCAATCAGAGCCCCTCAGCCTCAGGTCAGAGGTCAGAAGGTTTGCATGTTCACTTCCTCTTTAAAGAGACCAACATGTTTGTACAGTCGCTGAGACAGAACAACAGACACAGCCATCACCATGACAACAGCAGATTGACACTGAAACTCTCTTTCAGTGTAAAGCTCTGTCCACACTGATGCGTTAGTTTTAAAACTCATCAACGTTGCTATGGTTACGCTCTAAATCAAAGACTTGTGTAAACTGCTCTCGTTTTCGTTTGAACAGAAACGGAGACTTTTGAAAACGATGGTTCTTATCAGTCACATGACAGCTGTGCAGGTTGAAGTGTCTGAGCCACCGTCGGTTTATCCTCTTTTGAAAGCCCCTGTAGAAAAAGAGGTAGAACGTGTGGTTTCAGATCAGATGAGAAGTTTGAATCTGTTATGTTGGAATCAAACACTGAACGTGTCTTAGTGTGTCCGTCTAAAACCAACTCTGTACAAACACTAGGTTTTAATAGAAGCTTACAAACGCAACACGTCACTGAGGCTACAACAACGACATCAACTCATCAGTCAACAAGAGTAGAAAGGATAAAAAAGTCCCAGTAGATTTTTCGCTGTGAAAAGCAGAAATCTGTCATTTTCACACTCATGCTCCGAACAACAGGGACAAGAAGAAGAAGAAGAAGAAGAAGCTCTCACTCCTTCATATCACTGTCCACATGTGCCATGTTAATAAAGTTTAATAAAATACAATCACTCATCTCCATCCTGATCGTCTGAGGAAGAATTCACCTTCTGAACCAGGAGGAGGAGAAGAAGAATCTGTTTGTCCCATATCCGAACTTCAAGAGTCACAAACAAAATGTTGCGTCTCAGGACTCGTTCACACCTGGTTAGTTTCACACTCGTCAGTTCAGTCTGAGTCTAAACTTCAGGTGTGAACGTTCCTCAGACCAGAAGAGGAGTTCTGGGTCCGGATCAAACTGAACCTGGTTCTGTTGGTTCACAGTGAAAACACTTTGTTGGACAGTTTGGACTTTTGGACCAATCACAGGAAGTAGAGACACATTAAACCATAAAAGAAGAAGAAGAAGAAGAAGAAGAGGAAGCAGCTGCAGTCTTCACCTCTGACGATAAAATGTTTGAACCACGAGGACGTTCATGTGGAGCATTTGAACTAGTGTGTAGTTCTGTGGTACTGTGGAGTAACTGTGGAGTACTGTAGTACTGTGGAGTACTGTAGTACTGTGGAG